CATGAGCGGGGTGATGCTCCCGCGCCCGTCGGGGCCGCGCTTACCGGAGCAGCTCCCTTCCCAAACGGTGGCTTAACGGTAAAGAGGGAGTTTGGGTTTGGTGAGAGTTCCCCGTCTCGTGGTCCCCGCTTAGTGCAGCGGCTGCACCGCCTGCAGTAACGACCCCGCCGCGTGCCGGTCCTGAGCAGGAGCGCGCATTTCCTTGGCTAAAAACAACATGAGTTTTAAAAGAAACCAGTCTAGTTGTGTGTAGAGTGACGTGACCGCAGGTCGCGTTTTTAGAGCATGTTTGTGTTGTGGATTAAGCACCCGCCTGTGTGTCCCCCCTGGACTTGGTGCTTCATGGAGACTTCTCCCAGAGCTGGGTGCTTTCCCCGCTCCTGATTGCGTCCAGCATTGATGCTCTGGCATCCCTTTTTGGGCAGAAATAGCCTGAGAACACGCGCGGGTGATGTTTGTGCTCACGACCAAGTGCCTTGGTCCTTGCCCAGAACCTGCAGCACCGACGATGCTGTTGTCTTCTCTGCTGTCGTCGGCGCGTGGTGCCTGGGTGGGCTCAGGCCCCGGTAGTCGGAGCTCGTTGTCCTGCCTGCCCTGCCTGCGAGGGCAGAGGCTGCCTCATGGCGCGGGAGCTGCCCCGCTGCTCCCGAGGTGCCGCGTCCGTTGCTGCAGCCGCTGTGTTTCAGGCGGGGAGACGGTCGGTGCCTTCGGTGGTCTGGCTCAGAGAACGCGCCGAGAGGTGTGAAAGCACCGGTGCTGTCTGGCTGGGATGAGACACTCTTTATAGCTAGAAAACACAGCCAAATATGGATTATTTTCTCTCTCTCTTGATCGCTGCAGCAAACTTGGTGTTGCACCAGACTGTGGAGCGCATCCACGTGGGCAAGAAGTATGGGGACATCCCTCGAGGTATCTTTGTTGTGAGAGGCGAGAACGTTGTTCTGCTGGGGGAAATAGTAAGTAAGCGGCGGCTTCTGCCTGCTCTCTGCCTGCTCTCTGCCTGCTCTCTGCCTGCTCTCTGCCTGCTCTCTGCCAGCCCGGGGCAGCGGCTCCGCTGCGGTCTGGGACTGAGCTGGTGGTGTTTGTGGTGACGTGACTCCAAGCAGCGCTGCCGAGGCGGACGCTGGAGCTGGGTGTCCATCTGTCTGCTGTGAAATACGGTCACTGTCCCGGTGGGGGGGGCTGAAATTTGAGCCCCCTCCCGGGGCCGGTTCAGGCTGAACCGTCGTGAAAATGCCCTGTGTATCCGAGAGCGGGGGGCAGAGGTGCCGTCCCGCAGCTGCAGCTCCTCTGGGACGACGTGAGTGGTAAAGAGCAGCATGTGGAGGGAGACGTGGGGAAGCCCTGGCCTGTGTGTGGCATTGCTGGAGGGTGTCATTAGTGGCTGCCTGTGGGGCTGTCACCTCCCTGCTGGCTTGGCACCAGGGGACACCGTCCGGGGTGGGCTCGGGAGGAGTCGAGCGCCGTCTCACTCCCTGTTTGCTTCGGCCCTTTGGGCTGAGCTCAGCCCGGCTGCTCCCTGGGAGCCCCCTCTCATGGACAGCTGTCCCTGCTGTCCCTGGCTGTCCTGGGGGTCCCTGCCCGCATCCCCACCCATCGTGCACCTCTGTTTTGCATCGCCTCCGCCTTTTGACGGGACTCACGGAAGATGCGTGGGCACTGCGGTCCGTGGGCCCTCGCCTGGAGGAGACTGTCCTGCACACGCAAATCTGTGACCGTGACCCAGGGGGAACCCGAGCATTTACAAGGCCAAATCCCTGGGCTGCCTTCGAGCTGGTAAGCCCAGGGCCTGGGAGGCAGACCCTGCCGCGGGTCGGCTGCTCGCCTCGGGAACTGTCTTGCTCCAGCAACTTTGGCAAGAGCGATGGAGCACATCGTCCGTGGCGCAGCGGTGCCCGCTCTCCCCGGGAGCACAGAGCCTGGCCAGGCACTTGTAGGAAGCGCTCGGACGTCACCGAAGCCCAAAGCATGTGAGAGGGGTGTGTGTCTATCCCAGCGGAGACGCGAGTGCAGATCCACCCTGGACCTTTGTCGTCCCCGCTGGCTTTTGGCCCCTCCAGACCGGCGCTGCCCTGGCTGGTGAAATGAGCTCG